AATTCACAGCTGTACCTGGCAAGTTAACAGATGCTACGGACGGCAAGCTTTCAGTAATTCCTTTAAATGAAATACCCAACTCGACAACTAATATCGAAAACGCATAAGCATGTATAGTATATCTTCTTGTAGCGGTCCATCCGAGTATGTAATAAAAAGCAGCAATCTGTTTAAAGAAATCAACTTTTATAATGCACACAGGGACATATGCATAATTATGAAGGGTACCGGGGAATAACGACAATAGTTCCTCCGGACTGTTTTTGAGAAAATCGGTAATTAAGGTTTACTTACTCGATGGAAAGTAAAATTGATAAAAAAATAATAGAAATTTAGTTAGATCCTTCCATTTCTTACTTTTAATTGGGATTAGGAAGTTTTCTCAATGTTTCCTCTTCTCGTTTTTGATGATCATTTTGCGTCTTTTTTAGATTCTTCCGAATTACCTTATCAAATTTAGAACTAGCGTATAGGTCCATGTATGTCGATTTGTGAAAAACTACTCGACGATTCTGTTCGCAAAACTTCAGCATCCTGACTGGTCGAATTGGAAAGAGACAGTTCGTTGGATAAAACAGCGATAAAAACGTACTACAATCTTGAAAATAAAAATTTCTGCCACAATCAATGACTTCAAATGGTGTAGGTTTGACACGGTAATTTTTCAATTCATCTCTGCAGTCATCCGGTACTTCAGTATATGCTCTTTGGTTCATGAGACCCATATCTCTATCACACTCGAGGTGTGGATGACTTTCACAGTAGTAAAACGATTTTTCTTGATAACCAAGTAATGCAAAAACCAAATAACTGTATAGTTTTTATTTTGCCCTGTACAGGAGTCACAGAAAATGGCAAGTTCTTCTACTTCCATAGGCAGGATGTTATAAAAATGTGATACAGCATAGAACATACATCGTCAGCTCCTTTCTTAGCAATAGATTCATCGTAGGTATAAAAGATAGAATTTGAGTTTGACAGAATGTAGATGATAAAACTGATGAAATTCAGTTGCCGCTTATAGTCAACATCATTTGTCGTGATATTTGGACAGGGCAAGTTTTTTTGGTAATCGATCGTGATACTTTCGATAGCGGGGAACTTCGATGCACGTTTACGGTAAGTTCTCTTTAGACTGTAAAATGGCTCACTCCTTTTTTGATGTAGTGTCATCTCAAGTATCTTTTTCTCCTATTACCTATTACCTGCTGACTACCGAGTTTGTTCCGTGTGGGAATTTAAGGTAGCGGTAAGTGAAGATATATCAGCTTTTAAAGAATCACACGTACTACAAGTATGTTTTCGTGGATAACCGAACGATATATTGAAGTTGTTTTCATAGATTTCTCGGAAGGATTCATAGGAAATCTTGTTTTCAACATTGCCAATAGAATACATTTTTTGTAATTTTGCGATATTTAGATTTTCAGGTATGTAAAATGTTTCCGAATCTGCCAAAGAATGAGTCATTTTAGGCTCTCGATAAACTGCCGCTTTCTGTTTTGTGTTTTCTGAAAGTTTGTGAAGTCGTGTGTTGTGTTTTCCACGTATATCGATGAGCGATTTCTCAGTTGCAACGGATGAGTCTCTTATGTACCGAACTAGACGAACTGTAATTCCGTGTAAAGACAAAAAAGCCTTAAGACACACTGAAACGTCACGTATGATTCCATTTTCAACCAATCGGACACGAAACTAAATGAAGTATTATTAAGCCTTGACTCTGCTTAATTTTTTCGAGGGTGTCTACGCATGACAGGACGAACACTGATAAGACCACTAAGATAAGCGTTTTGTGCATTAGTGTTAACTAGTTCATTAAATTCACGAAGAAGTCTACCGCGTTCAGGTTCAGGAACAGTAGTAAAATAGGAAAACGTTCACAAAAACAATCAGATCCAAGTTCGTGGGTAGTGGCGCGCAATGTTTTCATCTTCCTGTTTTTTGCGTTTTTTCGATTCTCTGTTTGACGGGTCTGGTCCGTTTTACACTTGAAACTGCATAGTTACTATCTATTATACACAAAACCAGTATTTATAAACCAAATCAGTGAATATAGTCAATATTCAAAATATCAGCGTATACAACACACGAGGACTCTAATAGTAAACTAACAGCTGATGCAATAACAAAGCGCCCAAGCGGCACGGGTATCATGTAAAAAACCTACTAAATGTCAAAAAAAATCCTACATGATGTCAACTTGCATACTAGATAGTTTTAAGGGTGCAAACAGTCGTTCCACGTTTGCTCACCATGATCGTTGTAAGCGTGATCCACCTATGAACGAATATCTGAACGATACGAGATACTTTTCTCTAACCAAATATCCATTATTGTGCACGATTGGTTGCAGTGTGCTGAGAGCCACTTAGTTCTTAGTTCATAGTGTGGTTCATTGAGCTCAATGTGTTGGTTTAAAATGTGAAAAACGAAAGTTTGGTTGAGTAGCAAGACCGCATCTGGATCATTGAATTGGTCTGCATGTGTTTAAAAAAGTGATATTTGATAAGTTGAGAACATTATTACTGACTATGCTGCTAATGAAGCATATCTATTAGCTGTGCCATACGAGTTATTTGTGTTGTTCTTTCTGAAGAGAGGATATGTTGAAAGCTATGGTTGTGTTATCAAAAACTTTGAGAAGAATGAAAAAAAAGCATCACCGCGCCCGCGTTGTGTGTACTTTACTGTGAGCAGGTATATGACTCGTAATTCGACAGTGTACAGTGAATATGATTGCAATATGTCAGTATACTAAGTGACATATAAATCCGAACACCCAGTTTAAATGGTTTTATTTTAATAAAAGTTGGTGAATGTATTTATCTTACTGTAAATAACAAGTGAAAAATTTTTCAGCCTTATCAGTTGGACATTCCGGTTTTTATACTGCTTTTTTTTAATTCACTAACGCTCTAAAGATGAATATTTCAGCCGCAGTAAAGAATCAACGTTGGCGGATTTTGGTTCTTGACATCCTTTACGATCGGTTACGATGCCTAGAGTACGGAGACCTGTACGATTTCGTCAACTTAGTGAGTTTGATAGGGGCCGTATAGTGGGACTTCGGGAAGCTGGACTTTCTTTTCGGGCAATTGCAGTTAGAGTGCAAAGAAGTGTAGACACTGTGGTTAGGTGTTGTCAGGCATGGCTTCGAGAAGGCCGTACGCAAAGAGCAAGGGGCACTGGACGCCGCCGTAGAACAACAGACCGTGAAGATCGCCGCCTAAGATTATTGGCCTTAAGGGACCGTTTCTCCACCACCAGGTCCATTGCAAATGAATGGTTTGCAGAACACGGAAGACCTATTGGCATGCGAAGTGTTTACCGACGAATGAGAAGTTTTGGCTTGTTTTCATACCGGCCACACTGGGTCCTCCCTTTAACTCGAGAACACCGACGTAATCGCCTTGAGTGGTGCAGACAACGGTCACTCTGGGATCAGGAATGGAACAGTATTGTCTTTAGTGACGAGTCTCGATTTTGTTTAGGCATGCACGATGGTCGTGCCAGGGTTAGAAGGCGACGTGGTGAAAGGAGGAATCCACAGTTTTTTGTTGAAAAACATGTTCATCACACTGTTGGAGTTATGGTTTGGGGTGCTATAGCTTATGGTTCCAGGTCACCTTTAATCTTCGTCAGAGGTAACATGAACGCGCAGCGTTATATCCACGAAGTTATAGAACCCCATCTTTTACCCTATCTTGACACCCTGGCAGATCCAACTTTCCAACAAGATAATGCCCGACCACATGTTGCAAGAGTCACAATAGACTTCTTTCAACATAATGATGTGACATTGTTACCATGGCCACCAAGATCTCCCGACTTATCCCCAATTGAGCACGTGTGGGATATGATGGGTAGGAGACTGCTCAATTTGCAACGTCCTCCTCGGACTCTAGAAGCACTTCGAGAGGAGTTGGTGGTTGCCTGGAATGAGATACCACAGGAGGACATTGACCACCAGATCAGAAGCATGCCTAGCCGCGCTGGAGAATGCGTAGCACATCAGGGTGCATCCACACATTATTAAAGGTCAAAGGGCTTTAAAGCAGTGCAATCATTTTGAAATTTTTATCATTTACTTATTATGCTTCATTAAGTACTTATACAAAATTTTATTAAAATAAAACCATTTAAACTGGGTGTTCGGATTTATATGTCACTTAGTATATAAAATATAAGATCCCATTTAGTTAATTCTCATCTGCAGTGATTGAATTAATTAATCTTCTGTATGTTACTCAAATTAGTATTATGTTGAACTTAAATTCTAGTCGTCAGTATCCGACTATTGTATTAATGGAAGGAAACATTAACAGTGCATAAGGACTCCAGCATAGTTTCTGAAACTGTGGATGCCTTTTCCACTTTTCACTATTGTCTCACTTATTATTAAAACCATATATTAGGATTGTTTGAAGATTGTCCATATTCTCCTACATAACAAGGTAGACACATTATTTAAATAGATTTAGCTCTAATTTTGGTAGTTCTATTCAGAAAGAATGAAAATGAAATCATAACTCAGCTTTGATAGACCTCATTGATAAACAAAAAGTAAATGGGAGCATACTGGAATAAGAAATAGATACAACACTCGTATTTCAGTCAGAGATACTAAAAATCAAATGTTATATTGTAAAAGTATTAGTAAAATTAAATAACGATATATGTTAGTTGTAATTGCAAATTTGTTGGTTGAACATGAAATCACTAAAATAACCCTACTTTGTAAATCACTCTTTAATGCTTACATAATATTTGAATGGTCCATTTGCTGAAGAAGTAGTTATTCAGCAATATAAAAACCTAGTTTCGAATGAATCACAGATCAATGTCGAAACATATACATACATATAATATTGTGATATTCACACATTGCTGTCATACAGGCCAGTGTTCTAAACGTAGATTAGAGACCTTTGTTAACTAAGTGTCAAGCATTCAAAATATTTGATTTGAACATTATGGAATTTATTCAACAATTCATATGATAGCCTTTCATGATCACTAAATGTGATGGTATTGCATTTTTGAATTTTCCAGAAATAAAACATCAGTACTGCAGATATGTAGTCAAACGTTGCCAGGAAATTATATGAACTGGATTCCCAAACACTAAGAAATTCCTTTACATTTTTGTAGAATGAACGAACAAGGTTTGGAAGAAAGCTCTGAAATGTATATCTCTATCGTTTGGATTTTTTCGGTGGTTACAGACATGCACCCTTCACAAAGGTAAGTTTTACATCTTCCATCTCTAAACAATTACAATGTCATTATGTGCTTAAGTTGAGAAGTAAGCAATTACTAACCGAGCCTGAGGCATGTAAGGAGGGATGAATATAATTTTTATTCATAATGTGCTTTTTAACTGTAGCTCATATATAATTGTTTTTTGCTAGTAAGATTAGTCAATTAGCCATTTGGAAGACCCAGTATCAATATTAAGTTGTTTTACCTATACTTTCTTCATAATTATAACTTTCATGCAGTTTTTTCTGTGAATTTTAAAGATGTTTGTTTTCATTTGAACTTTCATTCTCTTCTTTGCCTCAAACACAGCAACCAGTAGAGTCGAGTTGAACATGCTGAGCAGTATTTTGAAGCAAGTAAGCAGAAAGATAATATTGAATGAATGAGTTAGTTGTCACCATCAAAAACATCTGTGTTCCACTATTTACAAAGTTTTTACTGTATTATTCAAATATTTGAACATTTGGACAGTACACTGATTACACAATAAGTTTGAAGTAAATTTTAATTAATTAACTGTATCAAATCACATAAGTTAATAATATTTATTCACAAATTAAACATATTATTGAGTGACATTGGCAAAAATAATCATCATCAGATCCTCTTGAATCTTCAGTTTTTTCTGTCAATTTTTGAGCTTGCTCAAAACAGTGTTTCCAGAAGGATCAAACATTCTTAGTGTGCTCAAACACTTGGAAATTGAACCATTATTGTCTGCAACACATATTAGTCTTTGTTTTTTTAAATACAAACCTATTTTGGGAATGTTTATCAACGTTTTTAAAAGTTTGTTGAATTCTTTTCGTTTCTGTGAGATTTTTACTAATTCGTGTGAACTTGGATGATAAAATATAGCAAACAATTTAGCACAAATAGGTACACGAATTCTTGATTCACAAAATTTTAGGGTGAAAATGAACTGTAATTTATATTTTTTATCTGCTCACTATATGCGTTTTAGCTCAATAATTACCTACCTAATTACCATATAATATACAATAATCTATAAGTGATTTGATTGGAAGAAATATTTTTGGATAGGTTCCAACCTTTAAAATTATTTAGTTGGGGTGGAAAATGATTTTCCCTGTGAGTGTGCTTATCCTCGTCCATTGAATATTTCTTTATAGCTGATATGTATTTATTGCTGCAGGCCCTCAGCTCTGTATTTTTCTCAACCGGAGACTGTTTTAAGATGTCGATCCCAGTAATCATTCGGGTATCTTCGGCAAATTGTCTCCAACATTTTGTCTGCCAAATTCACATCCATCCAAGCCAACCTATTTGACTTCATTCTTAACTGATATATTACATTTGATTTTAGGTTTCCTCAAGACCTGCGTTTTGAATATTACATCACAGAGATGTATGCAAAGAGCTGCAATCGACTTCAACTGCCAGAAAGTTATATGGAATAGATCATTGCCACTCTAGGAGTAATACTAGAGTAGAGCTAAAGCATGGTACCTCAATAACAACCAAATCATCATCATCTCTTGGCACCATTCGTCAAATGAATATCCGTGGGGTATGATGGGAAGAAGAGAGACCTCTTTACCTTATCCTCTACCAACATTAGCAATACTTCGCATTGAGTTTGGTATGAGGTACCTCATTAGAAGCACGCTACGATAACTGTACGAGAATGTATATGGCACTAAGTTCAAGAGATTAGCGGATTCTGGCAATACAGTTAATTTTTTTACCTAAAAATTTTGTCACGTTTTCCTCTTGGTTACTTCTAAATACCTATATATACAAAATTCATCCACATAAGACCATTTCCAATGTGCGTCCTTTTTCATCACAACGAATGCTCAAAAACCAAAAAACCATGTCTACAAAATTGAAAAATGTTTAGTCAATGACATGGTATCGTGTATGATCTAATCACATTTGCTAAACGTTTTTCCAGGAAAGTCATTTTCTGTTTTGGGGAACATGAAGTTGTTAATGTTTTGACAGTCTATGCCATTAAATAGGGAGATTATGTATGAGGAAATGTTACAGTTTGGGCGACGGTAACTTTTTAGTGATATCGTTACACTATTGCTTCCTAATGATAAGTTGAAAGTGGCGTCATGACAGGGCTGGAGTATTTGCCCGTCATTCTGATGAACGCTTTTAATTGAAAATATCGAAGACAATCGATCCTATGTAAAAGTGTAATATAGAACCGATTTTGGGGCTAATTAAATGGTCCATCATTTTGCTTTTATAAAAACTTGTATTGGTCAACAGGTTACAAGATAATTAAGGGTAAAGGTACATGTAATGATATTTTCGGTTATAATGGCCAAACTAAGAACCTAACGTTTTGTAAAGAATAAAATTTGGTACAAAAAAGATTTTTTACGTTTTTTCGAGATTTTGGTGGTTCTTAAAGTAGGAGGGAATTTTGAAAATTCGTATCAGAGCAGTCGCACGGCATAGTCCTGGCGCTACATATCGTCGGTCTCTGCACGTACCGGCGTAACCAACATCTTACAAATTCTACAGGAGAACTAGAAAACGAAAATAAGCAATAGATAAGATTGAAAATGACAATCATTTTTAGTCTGTACGTTGCTGTTTTTTTGTTGGACTAAAATTATGTAGAACCAGTTTGAACGCAAAGGCGTAAATGTATCAAATACGCAATTTTTTAAGAATTTTATTTCTGAGCAGTGAACTGATATACAGCTACGTCACTTTGTGAGGTGAGAGACTACAAAAAAATATGTAAAATTACGGCGTAACTCGATTTTAGACTTTTTTGCCATTTACGCCAGTACGTGCGGAGACCGACGATATGTATGTGGTCCACTTAATCGGCATGTAACATTATTTCGCGTGAAATGACTGCATAATCATTACCCATGACCAAGATTACTACCACGTGCAAGCATTGAAAATTAATATTCTTTTCTTTTTTTTCATTATGAAGATCAAGTCACTCACTCCTATCAGTGGGTGTATTGGCGATTTTGTCACTGGTTAATTTCACCGATTTTAATGTAAGAGGAGATGTAGTAGATAATACTAGTTTATTGTACTACTCCCTTTCCAGTAAAATCGTTGCAAGGGTTGCTGAGTGAACCGAGACAAAATGGCCAATAAAGTATCCGAAAATATCAGATATTCCATACTCATGCGTCTGAGTAGAACATCGATAATAATTTGTAGAGTTATCCCCACGTAAAAACATGTATCCTGACACGTGGGCAACGTGCGTTCAGTGCTGAGTATGCCGCGCGACAATTTCTTATAAATTCTTGACTTTTACTCCATACACTTGAAGAATCATTTAATTCTCTACATAAATGGATAAGAATCTTTTAAGCGTTTGAGCTGTTAGTTTAACCCTTATAAACGAAAATGACCTTAAATGTAACTTTGCCCTTAATTTTCTTGTCATATTTACCCTTAATTTTTTTTAACATAATCACTGTATGACAAGGTTTACAAAAGAAAAGTGATGAATTGAATTCGCTACAAACGCGTTTTTTAAATGAAACACTCCTACCAATTTGTACTTATCATTGTTGTCATCAAATTGTAGGAAAAATTCCATATCCTACACCTCACTTTCTAAAAGCCACAAAAATTTGGCATCCATACACTTATGTTAGAAAATAAAATTGCATCATTGCACCATGTAATATCAATTCTGTATAATTATCCGTTTACACATTTTTTTTAATCCATGTTCTGTAATTTTACATTCTTGTCTATTAAAATTACATCACTATGCTTTTTGAGTACTCATAAATTGATTGTTTAATTTCACCTTGAACATTTTTAAATTCGAAAACTGTTTAATATAATAATTATTCAATTTATTAAATTCAAATACTGGTTTTTGAAATACAGATCTGCTAGTTATGCTGCTATTACAGTTTTGCAGATAAATCCTATACTGCCTCTATTTTCGTAGTTATGATAACTATTTCATTTTGTGAAAGTTTTCAAATGTAGTGGTAATAAATGTTGTTCAATTTGAATATGAAAATGAGAACTAAATAGCATATGAAATTTTTTACATTCAACCACTGTAGTTCTTCTAACATAGACTAAATCCTAGCATATTTGTTTTTATTTAAAATATTCCCATAGCTTTATGTTGTAAAATTTGTAATTTTGAAAATATGTTTTGAACAATATAAAATATGTGGAAGAATGATGGTGTTATACACATTTTTTTGAATACATACTAAGATTATGGGAAACTCTATAGGAGTAATTTATCTTTTTTGATATTTTTGGAATGATGTATACATATTGCTCGTAAAACAGTAGTTTATTATCCACATACGTATATACCCAGATATTTAAATGATTGATTTTATTGATGGAAAGAAAAATGTGAGTTTATTAAATATTAGGAAGTCTTATAAGAAATTCTATAGAATAAATAAAATGTATTCTATTAATGCTGTTGTTTTCTTATTTTTAAGCTGCCATAAATATGTAGTTTTATGTGAACTGTTCTATAGCTTTCTCCAAAATTCCTTTTATCTTGCCAGCTGCTTGATCAATCTTTTCACATACATCTTGTAGATTGTTCCACAATCTTGACACCATCAGGACCAAGGAGCAGTCGTATCGGTACTGAGGTATTCCTTAACGCGTGTACAATCACTTGGACGGACAACTTCTATACTGAATTTAACAACTTCCGGTACAAGCATTTGCCACGGCCTCGCTCAATAGGGGAATATTGGAGAGTGTTGCCCCTTTTCCAAATAATTTCAAACCACCAGTCAACAGAGAGGATCCACTTGTCAAATATATTAAATAAAATGCTGGTTAAATTCTTTTATAATACAATATTCCATAGTAATTGTTTTCAGTATATCTAGATTAACCATTCTAAGAATCTTCTTCTATCCAATACTATTCACTCAAATCCATCAGCAAAGTTTAAGGATGTCAAAGAAGCAGTACATCAATTAAGTCAAATGTGACCTTACAGGTCATTTTTGGCTGCATATTCGTGTAGTTTACATAGATTGCATACACAGTATATGTACTTATAACATTCCCCAACATTTTTTGGGTTGGTTACAAGTTTGTAACATAAGATTAATGGGATATTCTCATGCATAGAGAAGCATATTTTTAGCAGGAGCTCCCTTACACTTCCCAGATACGTTATTGATGTTCTTGAAATCTTAGATGCAAATTATGGGAATGAAAAATTATTCAAAAAGTATTGCCTGAAATGCGGATCTACTAGAAATCAGCCAACAGATCCGTTTCATACGTAATTGACTACGTTTTTACAAAAAAAATTATACAACATGTCGACCTTCATGAATACGTGACCTCGGTGATAGTTGATAAATTCTCGCGCCCTCTTGAAAATTGTCAGTGATGTTAAAGAGTGTGTGTAACGAAATCACAAGGACTCTGCAAGTAGTAATTTTTCCACGTGGGAGACAATCCATAGGATGCCTTTTCCACCAAATAAACAATTCTAAGGTCAAAATTGGAAAATCGACGCAGCTGGTATCTCTAAAGCCGGCTCTCAACCCACAAAAATGGAACGGGCTTTGGCGTTACCCACCTATACTGCCATTTTCTTTCATTCATTTGCCTGTAGACGTTCCTGAAGGTATCAAAGCAGTAGTTTAATTAATAATGCATTTTAGATTTAAAAGTTAATGAGATTCTTTCAATATAATGACTAAACATCTTTTAAGTTAGCTTCAAGAGCTGTCTAATTACACATATTGGAGTTATTTTTTGACAATGCATACAACAGAAGATCAGAGATTTTTTATCAGACCCAACAGCTTCCGACCACTGTTTATTTTCCATACATTTTTTTGCACCCTTAGTTTTAATGTGTAGCTCTGCTTTGATATGGTCGATCAAGATGAAAATTTCAGCTGTCACATTAGAAGTTGCATAAAAATAGTTTTTTCATCTAGTAAGTAGCCGAACCGAATTAAAAACGTTAAGAGCAATTTGTAATTTCAATATTTTTTTTTATGAAAGTGAGTCTACTAAATGTCCTACACCTAAATTCCTGCCTCAAATTCAGAACTCCCAATACAATCCAGATTAACTGGTAACCCTACGCACAATATAGTTGTCGAAGCTGTAAAATGAGAATTGTTAATACCTACCTACCTAATGCATATCTGGCTAGGAGTAGTGTTTTGGATTGCAGCTATTGTTTATCACCATCCCAAGAATAACTTACTGCTAATCCTCCTGAATTCTGACACCTAATAAATTATATTAATAATTATTTACTCTAATAATAACAATAAAAGTTATTATTGTTTGAAGAAGAGATCACGGACCATAGAACCATTGTAAGACAGGCATCAAGATCCTGATATTAGTGACAGATGACACGTTATAACAGCTGCCAGTCAGTTAAGTAAAAAATTTTAAATAAGTATATTTCCTTTTAACACTGTCCCGTAAGAGGACAATGGCCTTAAATCATGACACAATTATTATATGTATTTTAAAAAATAAGTATATTCACTTACCTTCAGAAACACATCAGATAAAAAATATTAATGAGTCAGCGCATGTCAAACATTTTCGCAGTGCCTCACATCCAGGCGCTGATTTGTATTTTCTATCGACATCGCAAAATAAGTTTTTATAAAACTTAAATGACTAGAAATAAAAAAATTATGTAATAACCTTTTTACTTTCATGAATATTCCTGACAAGAAACCAATGGAATTACCATTAACACATATTATTAGCACGCACATCCTCACTATGTACCTATTGCTTCCCATCTTCCAAATGTAGTCTATAGTATACGAGTTACAGCTTAGATCTAGAATATCATGCCATCTCTGAAGCACTAGATACATCACATCATAGCCAAACTCACAGATCATGACGTTTAGGCAACACG